CTGTAGGAAGAGCAGCGGAGCTCCAACGAGCCCCTTATCTCACTGTAACAATCAGAAATGCAGTTCGTTTTGCTCATGGGTAAAATGCTTTTTGTCTTGCTTATGTCACTTGCTCCTCTAAAAGACGGGCAGCACCGCTTGCCCCCTTATTCCCCTTCAGGCAATGGGTTTCTCTGTGTGAAGTCAACAGACTTGCTTGTTGGCAGGGGAGGAGTATGAGCAGTATTGACGCTTGGGTGTCCTGTCTCTGCTCTGAGAGTGGAGGAATTGCGCAGTTCACACAGAATTCGGGTTGCTGCCTCTCATTTTTCTGTTTGAAAAATGACTTGTTGTGATACCAGATCTTACTTGTTCTTGTTCCTGGCCTGAAGTTTCTGCTTCTGGAAGTCTTAAGCTTTTAATTTCCCTCCTCCCATCCACAGCTTATTCTTTACAGAGAAGAAGTATCCTTCCCTGGCTGTGATGTTATTTTCCTTCCTTGCATGTGAGGCAATGTCTGCCTACAAGCAAGGCTTGCCCAGGAATTAGCCTAAAAACATGAAGTCCCGCTTCCTAGTGAGACGACCGTGTATGAGTTCTGTTCCCAGGCTAGGAGAAAGTTTTGGACAAATCGGTACAACCTGATGCTGCAGCAGGTAACCAAGGCTTAGCTTTTCCCAGGTGTTTCAGGGGAACGGGTTTAAACGTGCCGATTCCACTGTCCAGTCCTCTGCTTTGAGTGTTTCTGCCGTTGACTAACACTATGAGAGTGTAGCAGGGGAAGCAAAAGTATCTTTGGGATGCAAATGATGTTTTTTTTCTTTCCCTCTGTAAGAGGAAACTAGTTGCACCAGGGAAAACTTGTTTGACCTGCTGGCAGTGTCCGTCTCAGAGGGAAGCACAGTGCTGCGGTGGTTTCTCTAGCTGGTGGTTTGAAGGATCGCTTTGTGAGCAGGGAGACCCAACCGTTTCAAAGGAAGCTTCAGAAACTGTTAGTCCATCACAGGGGCAGTTTCTTATTCACTGAGGACGATTCATTAAGCCTTCTCATATGTCAGGGCCGCAGGTCTTAGCCTTCCTCTGGGAGGAAGGGAACAGCTGAAACGTGATACGTTACGGCTCTGCGAGCACACGGTCGACTGCGCTGCTGCAGGACGGCTCTCCCAGAGCCACGACGCGGCTGTCCCTTCCTTGAGGCCGCTCTCGTGGCAGCGGCTCACTGAGTGTCTGTCGGAGGCCAGTAGGAGGTAAGAGCTTGGCACCTGCCGGCCTTGGGGAGCCTCCTCCTTGGCTCTCTTCTGTCAGGAGAGACTGTCTTCCAGGTAGGGAAAAACTTCCTGTGCTGTTCAAGCACCTGGTGTGCTGGACCAGACCATGCGTACGTCTGTGGAGCTGCTCGGGGCTTCTCGTCGGCTTCCTAAACGCCGTTCTGTGCTCTTCCCTGGCACTGAAACATCAGTATTTGCTCCTAGGCGAGGGAAGAAGGTACCTGGAAACACAGGTTTGGGAGGAATACGCTGTCCCACGGTTAGGTAGCAGGGCAGAATTTGTCTCTTTTAGGAGCCCTCATGGCCCGGGACGCTAGACCTGTCCTGACAGAGGTGCCAGTCCCTTGCAAATGGGCTTTGAGCCCAGGCAGCCCAGGGCAGGTAGAAGAAATGTCGGCAGTGAGCGTGCAGTTTTGTGCTGTTATGAAGACTAGTCCTCAAAACCTTTCCACAGTGTCCTAACAATAGGTCCGCAAGCTCTGAGTGCTCTGATCCGAAGCTGGTGCAAGCGGGGCCCCTTTGGTTATTGGATTCTTAGTTGCAAGCACCTTGAATCTGGTTTGCAAGACATCACTTGCTTGGTACCCTTTTGGGGAGAAAATCAGGTAAAACTTTAGTGGCCGCAGGGTCGCTTGCCTTTGCATTTGCTGTTTTGTCGCCGCGAAGTTTGTATGCGGCTTGCTGCCGCCACTTCTCGGGGGGGTTCCTTTGAGGTAGCTTTTAACTGTAAGGAGTTATTTTTCCTGGCAGACTGGTTGATCTTTAGGTGGCAGAAGGTGAGATGCGTCAGAGAGAGGGAAAAATCACAATTCCAGCCCTTTTCTAGGTGCTGTCCCCAGCCGGCATCTCTTCTGCACGGTGTGGTTGTGGGGAGCTGCTTCGCGGCTCAGCCCATCTGCAGGTGATCTGTGACCGCTGAGAGATTTTTCCTGGGGAAGGGAGCACAGTGAGAATCGCGGGAGCGGGCTGGGGGGGGACACGAACGCCTGCTCCTGACTGTGCGCCAAGCGCTCACCTCTCCTTCTGTTTTTCTGCTTTCAAATGAGCTTCCGCCTCACGTTTTCCTTCGCTGGATGCAGGGCGTTTCGCAAGGACTGAGTGTTTATGATGCTCCATAGTGACCTTCAGGAATCAGGTCTGTCCGGATGAGATGATCACGTCTGGCTCCATAGCTGATGCTCCCCCTGCTCCTGCGGTTTGCCAGAAATCTGGATCGTTTAGTGTAGGAGTATAGCTTGGGAGAGTGAGACCAGGTGGCCCTTCCCACTTTGTCCAGTTCAAAGTGGATGGAGACCCAAGTGCTTGCGAGAAGAGGCTTGCTCCGTGGCCTGCAGGAACGCCTTTGCTGAACCCTCTCGCTTGCCCTTCTTAAAGCTTGCGCCCAGCAGCAGCTTCGGACCCTTCTCTAAGGGTCGAGCTCCAGTGAAATCACCGTCGTTGGGGCCATCGCGTCCCAGCTCTGCGAAGCAGCCCTGCCTTGGGCTCCAACGCTCGTCCTTCACGTGTACCTGAGCGCTGCCGGGTGCAGAGCGCGTCGCTGCGATCCCGCCTGTGGCCTGCTTGCAAGGCTTGGTGTCTCATCACAGCAGCAGAGCCAACGCGTGCCCAGGCTGCTCGCTCCCCCGTGCGTGCTCAGCTTCAGGGCCTGCATTTCTTCGAGTTGGGTCCTGCCGCCGTGGGGATTTAAGTTTGTTATTGGTGCAGGGAGCTCAGGCTGTGGTTTCAACGGTGACTTCAGGCTGAAGAGCGGAAGTAGTAGTTTGTCAGCATCCGTTGTTGGCACTGCAGGGCTTAAAGGAGTTGCGATGGTCAGCGGCCGTCTCTGTGTTTGGAATTGGTGGGGTTTGGGTATGGCTATGAGAAAGCAGGTGTCTCAATGCGTGCAGCCAGGCCAGCTGCAAACCTTCCCAGATAGCTTTCAAGTTTGCTTTACAGACTCTTCTGTGCTCCAGGTAGAGCTAACTGACTGCAAACCAGTGTGTAAACCTTGTACAGGAAAATCGGAGGGATTGCAGTAAATCCTCCTTGTTCCCTTCCTTGCAGGAAGACGAGATCTGCAGCGAGGTAGAGAAAGCTGCTGCAGCAAAGCTTGGTGGCTGCTGATCTTTGCCTGAGAATTCCCGTTGGATAATAAACCTGGGGAAAACAGCTCTGATCCTGCCTTAGGTTGCCTAGAGCAGGGAGAAGTGTCACAACCGCTGTCATCTCCTGCCCCCACGTGCACTTTAAAGTCAGTGGGCTCATGGAGTTGTCCTGTGGGCTATGTCAGATTTTATCCTGATTTTTCTTTTTATCCCTGATGCCTGGCTCTGGCTCCTCCAGGTTGCAAAGGGAACCTGGACAACCCAGGATCTCTGGCCGCTTCTCTTGGGCTAACAACAGCTTGCTGCATTAGGGTTTCTCCACTGCGGTTTCTCCAAGCTGCTTAGTTATGTTTGAAATCCATGGTATTTGCAAGTTCTTTCTTAAACATATTGTTTGGCTTTGCTTTCTGGGTTTCGGCTCCTCCAAAACAGCAAGGCCCTTTTCAGGTTTCAAGGATGCTTCTCTAGTTTTTTTTTTTTTTTTTTTCCTGTTGTTGAAGGAAAGATGGGTGAAATAACCGTAAAAGATGAATCTGCAGCCTCCCAACTGACCTTTAAAAGGGCTATCGACTGCACGCACATCAGACTCCCTCAGCACGCCAGGCTGTAAATCTGCCCTAAACTGTCTGGGTTATATAATATAGCCTAAAGCGCTGGATGGGAGTCTTGTGTCCTTTCAGTTTAAAGGAACAGTCCTTGAGAATTGATCACTTGAGAAAAAGGCTCATTTTGGTTTTGCCGATATGTTTAACTGGGTGCTGGAAGATTTGTACTCTTAGCTGTGATATCCTTAAGGTTCATAGCAGCAGCTTCCCTGGCATTGGGCTGATTGTCAGATTTGGCTGTGTTCCTCTTTTCTTCCAAGAACCGTTTCCCGTGTAGGATGTCAGATGCAGAGGAGGGCTCAGTGTGAATTTTCACTAGAAAAGTGTTCCTCAGGCTAGGAGACATGACTGTGAAGGGTAGTCGCCAGGCCTTGGCAGCAGGCACGCATGCTTCCCAGCTCTGCGAGGATCCAGAGTAAACCTGCAGAAGATGAGGCTTGCAAAGCAAGCGGTGGGGTTGCAAGAAGCAAGCCTGGCATCTTGGCTGAACAGGGTGAATGCTGGTGCGCGAGTGACTAATCTCCTCCTCCTGCACGTCCCCATTGGCAAAACAGCTGATTCCCTGCTCATCGGTGGTGCGCCAGCGTGCCTCTACCGCGCTAGCCCTCTCGTCGGGAGAAGGGCTCCTTTGACGGAGCTGGGGGCTAAGTTGCTTCTTTCCCCGGATGAACGCAGGCAGCTTGGGTTGCTATCCTTAAGGGCCTTGCGATACCTGCCTCTTGAGCTAAAAGTAAGTGGGGTGGCAATGATTTGGGGGTCCTCCATCGAGGAGGTGCAGGAGCGGTGCTGAGAAAACCACGCTCTGTTGCTTACCCCAGCTTTTGGGGATGGAGCTGTGTGTTTTAATGAGGTCACCTGCCCGCTCCTGGGAAGGCTGCGAGCACCCTGCAACGCAGACCTTGTGCTTGTCTCCCTGTGGCTTTTCCCATGAGAGTTCAAGTTTGGTTTCCCCTCCCCCTCCACCCTTGTTTTTCCTCTTGGAGCTTTCTCCGCTACAGCGACCTCGGCAGAAGGGCAAGGAAATTATCCAGTTCTAAACCTCTGTTGTCTGCCTCTCCTCCCAGAGACGTGCTGCTAGCTGGAGACCACAATGACGGACTCGAAGTACTTCACCACCACAAAGAAAGGTAACTGCCCGGGTTGCGTTGCTTGTCCTCGTGTTGCTCTCCGTGCTCTCTCCTTCCAGCTGGTGCAGGGGGCAGGAGGCTCAGAGGCAGCACAACCCTTTCCTTAAATATAAAGGTGCAAGAAGGTGCTCATTAAAAGCATTGAGATGTTGAGGGTCATCCCTGCTTGCATGGCACGGTGATGCCAGGGCAGACGCCCGTCTCGATCTCTCCCTGCCTCGAGCCCAGCTCGCTGGGCGCGCGGCGGCGGTTGGCAGCCGGCTCTCCGCCCACCGTGGTTAAGTCGCCTTGTCACCCAGGCTCTCTGGCCGGGGCGTGAACCCAGACAAGCCTTTTAACGGCTCCCTTATCAGCTTTAACGGCTTAGGGACGCCAACTGGCGCAGCTGGCAGCCTGGCTGTGGACGTGGCCCCCTCCTTAGCTCCCTTGGGCAGAGTGATGTGGGGAAGGGAGCCCCGTCCAGGCCTGAAGCTGTCGCTGCAGAGAGGCATGAGACAGAGATGCTCTGGATGTTCAGCCTCAGTGGTTTCCAGACCAAGGAATTGAATTGACGTAAATGAGGAAAGACGTGTGGTGTCTTGCCCTTCAATCCAGGAGTAAATAAAGCCTTTCAGGAGAGGCAGGGAGCTTGGGTGAAATAGGAGTGTGGCTTAAATTTGCTAGGATCACAGCTGCAGGGGTACAGCAGAGCATGTAGCGCTTACCTGGAGCCCTTCCCTGCGTGCGGTTACTCGGTCGCTGCTTTCTAGCCTGGCTAAGCCAGGGTTTCTGTGCAGCCTGTCCTGCTGGAGTCCCCAGCATCCAGAGCCAGCATGTGAGGTGGGCAGTTTGGGCTGGATACCTGAAACACAGTGACTTTCTGGCTATATTTGCCATCCTTCAGTCAGAGCTCCCGCGTGGCTCTGCAAGGACAGACAGCCGGTCCCCTTGGGCTGGATCTGGAGCGCACTGGTGGCACTGCTCCGGCAAGGGGCTGGCCTGGGGAGCTGCTGCCGCACGAGAAGGGGATTTGGAAGTGGCCGTTGCTTCTCCTCTTTAGAGGAACTGTTTGCAAAATCCGTTGGCTTTTGCTGCTGCAGGGGCCTATGGAAATCCAGGCTGTGCTGGATTGCTGCAGGTCAGGGAGCAAGCCCGACAGCCGCGAGCAGGGCAAGTGGTTGGATCTGCTGCGGTAATCACCTGAGAGCAGGAGGGTTCAAGTAGGCTGTAGAGCCAAAACTACTCACAAAAGAAACCCTCTGTCCCCGCCTGGGGCATGGGGCGCTCACGCTTGTTACTCCTGGAGTGTCGTTTACCTGGCGCGTTGCCCTGAGGGCCCATCTGGTAGCAGGAACCTTCCGTTGTAATGTCTCCTTGCTGATGAGAAGTTAAATCCTGTTGGAAGAGGTAGGGTGCGTCTGTCCTTGCTGCTCTCTGTTGTACAGAGCTCTGCTAGGGTGATGTTCTGGGTCTCCTGGGACTTCTTGGCTGTCTTTCCCTCCCTTTGGAGGATTAGGTGATGCCTCTGCTGCTGAAATCCCTGCCCGTAAAGACCTCTGAGGTCCTCGTGGGGCTGAGAGCCGGCCGAAGCCACGGGGAAGCGTCAGCACATTCTCAGCTCTCTGGAGGTGCTGTTTTTTCATTTCTGCGGATAAGAGCCAAGCTCCAGAGGGAAGCTTGAGGGAAGTTTGTAAAGTTAAATTCCCCCTTCTGCCTCCTGACGCCAGCTGCCGCAGCTGTGGGAGGGGAGAGCCCTGCTCAGGGGCTGCTCCCGGGCTGGGCTCTCGTTCCGTGTGCTTGGTGGCGTGTCCCAGGAGCGTGGACCTGCCTGCATCGGTCCAGGGTGGCCCCGTTGGCAGGACACGTGAGCCCTGACTGTGTCAGCAGTCGCCCAGCTGTTTGCGCCAGCTGGACATGGCCACCCTGCGGCACCCGGGGTGGTGAGGCAGGAGCCCCACACGCAGGTGGTGGGAGCTGCAACCAGCACCCAGCGGGCCAGTCATGACGTGGAGCAGCTGCTCCGTCCTGTGCCGAAGCCACCCAGCTGTCGAGGAGCTAACACCAAACTTCCCTCTTTCCTCCAGGGGAGATATTTGAGCTGAAAGCAGAATTGAACAGCGACAAGAAGGAGAAGAAGAAAGAAGCTGTGAAGAAGGTGATAGCGTCGATGACGGTTGGCAAAGATGTCAGGTGTGTTGCGGAGCTGTCCGTGCTGCTGCTGTGTTGGGAGTGCCCAGGCCAAGCCAAGCTGTGCAGATGTGTTGACAGCTTGCCAGGGCACCACTCCGGACACACGCCAAGCAAGTAGAGTGCAGCGGCTCATGTAACGGCTTTTCCTGGCACGTGCAACGTGCTCTGGTGAGCCAAGCAGCAAAGCTGGACAGGGAGCAAGTGGAGCCCCCCAGAGCCCCCAGTTTGCAGCTCCTGTTTTGTGGAGGATGGGGCCACGTTGCCTCCCAGCGGTCTGTGTGCTGGCTCTGGTCTTGGGCCAGGATTGAGCGAGCTCATGGCCACTGCTGTGCCTGCTGCTGTGCAACAAAAACATTTTGTGCGTGAGCAGCAGCCTGGCAGGTTGGTGCTCGCCTGGCTCTGGTAGTAATCTGGCTAAAAGAGGATTGACCCGGCTGCCAGACAAGTTTGTTTGGGATTATGGTTGCTTCCTGTGAGTGTTACCTTGCGATAAAAACAAGCAAAAAGCTCTCAGAGCCTTTTTGTTGGAGGATTGATGTCTGTGTCTCAGTGTCAATAATCCTTTTGCAGAGAGTGCAGTCCAGAAAATTAGGTGGCTTCTCTTTTCTCTTCTCCTTTATTGTTCTGGCCAAGCTGCAGATGGCCCCCTCCCTCCCTCACCTTCCCTTCCCTCACACTGCTTCTGATCACACAGAGCACGACCGTTTTGCTTTTAATGGTGCATTTGAGGGTAGCCAGAGCAAAATTGTGATCTGGGCCCTATACTTGGAAAATTGATGCAGATAAGAGGTGTATCCCATCCCCTGCTCCCAGGGCACTTGTGGAGGTAGGTAAAGCACTACTTTGGGGTCCCAAAGGGGGAAACTTCAGGCTGGGGTGAGAGCAAAGGCAAGCACTGGCTCTGTCTGCAGAGAGCCTGTCCCGCAGCTCAGGCTTACGGCTCCCCTGGAGCTGACCTGTAAGTAATGGCTGGTTTTGCAGTGGCAAAGCAGCAGCTCTCAAGGGGAAAAAAGGACATCTGTTGGAGTGGGATAACTTCTGGGTTAACCCTCTGACTGTGACTGCTTGTCCTGAGATGGTTTAATAGTCTGACTGATCTGTCTTTATCTTCCACTGCAAAATAACTTACCTGGCATTTGCAGCCTTAGAGTTGCTGTTTCTCTCTCAGTGGGGTCAGGTTTAGACAGGTGAAGACCAAAACTGTGTACAGGAGGCATTACGGCTCCACAGCTCCCTTCTGGCCTTCCAGAGCATCATCCCTGCTGCAAAGCTGGCCTTGGGAAGTGTGGCTATTTGTTATACTGGGCCCTTAGTATTAAATTCTGTGAGACTGTAGGAGGTGGTGTGACTGCTCAGCAGTTTGCAGCAGGCCAGATTTAATATCCACAAAAGCGTGGGGCCATTTTGGTGGGCCCCTGTGTAAGGAGAGAACATGCAGAAGGCAAGGACGGAGTATCTCATCTCTCATGTGCTCCTGCAGCAGTGCAGGCACTGGAGGCTTTCGCACCGTCCACTGATGGCTGGTTAGTGTCACACCTTCTCTGAAGCCAAGTGGAAACTCGCACCTGGAGCTGGGATACAGCAGAGCTATGTGGGAATGGTCTGGGAGAGCCCAAATGCTGTCTGTTAGGGACTGTTTTGAGTTGATACAGATCCGTGAAGAAAAAGCCAGTGATGGCAGGGCTTATTTAGCCAAATCTATAAAGTTAACCGCATAGTAGGCTCAGGTTGTGGGAGGACCCAGGGCCTCCTGGCTCTAGGAACGTGTTGAGCCCCCCGCAAGGGTACAGAAGTGGAAGGTGATCATGTAGGTGGTAGTGTCTCCTTCCCCTGGCTCAGCAGCATGGCTGTATTCATGGCGACACTTTGTATTTCAGTGCTCTCTTCCCGGATGTGGTGAACTGCATGCAGACGGACAACCTAGAGCTGAAGAAGCTGGTCTATCTGTACCTGATGAACTATGCCAAGAGCCAGCCAGATATGGCTATCATGGCAGTCAACACGTTTGTGAAGGTGAGAGGGGAAAGCTGCATGTCCAAGAGCTGCATGTCCTTAACGGGATCAGGTCAGCCTGCCACGTCCGTCATTTCTAAAACCACTCAGCTGCCATCGCCTTCAAGGATTCGGAGCTTCTCTTCTAGGAGAAAAGAGAGTTGGGGATCTCCTTTCCTTAGCCCTAGAGTCCTCTCATTCTCCTTCAAAGAACTTAATTCTGACCCAGCAAGGTCTCCTTCATCTGGAGAAATCCTTGCCCTGAATTTGCCCTCTGTTGCCCTCTGCCTTCCCCTGGATTTTCACTGCAGGCCACCGCGCTAAACTGCCACTTACCCAGCTGCAAAGAAGTGAGTGTGGGCAGGCTTCCAAGTCTCCTTGCTCTGTAGTAGGGGCTCCCTTAGCGCTAGATAAGAGAACAAATTTGGCCAGTAGTTAGAAGAAAAGTCTTTTATTGGCAGTAGTACTGTGCCGCTTGCTCTGTCAGTGGTAGCTTCTGTTGCGGGCAACTCCTGTGAGCCTCCATGACTTTCGGTCACCTGAACTTACCCACTAAAGTCTTCGCAGCCAGGAAGACCCTTTTGATCTTCCTGTAGGAATTAGATACTGAAGAGCATGTTTGTTAGGAGCCAAGATGTGGCCAAATCATTGTATTAAAAAGTTTGGTGGGCTTTAGGGGGAATTTTGACTTTTTAAGGAAAAAAAAACAATAAACCCTCTAGGTGCATTTCTCAGGTCGGGTGGTGGTTTTGCAGCTTGGCACATGAATTTGAATTCTTGGTGTAAGTGATGAAGACATCTGATTCCTGGAGGTGTATTTGGAGTGAGAAATGGTTGTGTTAAAACTCTGCACTCTAGATTTCAGAAGAACAGATCTAACCTCTCTCCGGTGTTGAGGCACTCTTGGACTTCTTGTTCCTGAGAGATGAGCGTTAAAATTGCTAGGCTTCAGGTACCCAAATTAGAATTTAGGTCCTGAAGCCACCACTGAAGCCTGTGATTCAAGGACAAGTGGCCTTGGATAGCTGACCTTCCTTTCTAATCGCTGTAGGACTGTGAGGATCCAAACCCTCTGATCCGGGCTCTGGCTGTGCGGACCATGGGCTGCATCCGAGTGGACAAGATAACAGAGTATCTCTGTGAGCCCCTGCGGAAGTGTCTGAAAGACGAGGATCCTTACGTGCGCAAGACGGCGGCCGTCTGTGTGGCAAAGCTCCACGATATCAATGCCCAGCTGGTGGAGGACCAAGGCTTCCTAGATACCCTTAAGGACCTCATCTCGGACTCCAACCCCATGGTGATTACTTCTTGCCTTACTCATCCTCTCTTCTCATCCCAATGGCAATAAATGCCCTTCCTCATCCATTCATCTCTGCATACTGACTCCCTTTCCCTTGCCTGTCTTTCAGTTCTTCACTGTCTTTTGGTGCTTAATGGACAATATTTAGTGAGAGCTGTTGCTGAGGGCTGCGAGTTGTGTTCCTTGTGCTGTAACTCCCCTCTCCCAGCTGCTGCTAAATGTAATGGTTTTGATCCCTTTGCTGTCTGTTCCTGTTGGCTGTGCTGCATTAGCCAGAGCAGGGGCCAGTAGCAGAGGGAAGCTGATGCCTGGCTCTGATAGCTGGGCATGCTGCATGTCCTGCTTCCTGCGCTGGGGGGCAAAGCGACGAGACTGCAGCAGTCAGCCTGGGTACAGGGACGTTCCTTGGCCTCTCACTTTGTGAGCGCAGGGAGCCTGGAGTTGCTGGGGGGAAGGCAGTAGGGTGATGGCAGCGGCCTGGCATCAGGCAGGCGAAGCAGTTCCTGCATCCCGCACAAGTGAGCGGCCAGGAAGACAGCAACACCCAGGAGAAGTAGCAGGTAATGACAGGAACCCACTGCTGTTCTCACCGTCCAGAGTGGCCACGAGGACCCCTGTGCTGAAACAGGAGGCGAAAAAGGTCTTTGGATTTGCCTATGCAAAGAGTTGAGCAAGAGTTGTCAAAATCCAGCCCTATGGCTGCTGCTGTTTATCAGTGGCTTCCTGTAGAGCTGCTCTCTAGGAGATGAGTCACGGTCACAGAGTTGTGTGATGACTCCATTATGAAACTGGAGGAATCAAAATGCTGCCTTAGCTTCCTCTGAAGCCCTCCTGAGCTTGCTAGGCAGAGGCAAACCTGGCTCCTTCTCACCAGCCAGCACCAAAATCCAGCAGCATTTTGTGTGCATGCAGGTGTGGAAAAGCTTGCCCGGCCTGCGAGTATGGACACCTCCCTCATGAGCTCACGTCAGTGCTTGGGAGCCCGCAGCAGAGATTTGAGCCCTGCTCGAAGCTGGGGAGCAGCGGTACGGTCAGATCTGCACTAGGCGGCAGCTGGAGGCGATTGCGTTTCCTCAGAAATGTTAGCCCTAGCCTACCACTGTTGAAATGGACAGCATCTCCCCACTTTGAGCACCGTTATTGTCCCCCGTCATTCCCAGATACCCCGACAGATTTTCCAAGCGCAGGACATGTCAGATTGACCTAAAGTGTGTGTGTGTGGTTTTTGTTTTTTTTTTTTCTTTTTTCTCCCCCTTGGACTTCTTGGAGCTCTTTATCCCTGGTTGTTTGGAGCTGGTTAGAGCACAATCGTGCTATCAGAAATCAGTTTATCTTACTGTTCTCCCTGTCACCGGTCTGCTTCTGTTGGCAGTGGAAAGGATAAGCTTTGGGCAGAGCGCTTTACCCCTGGAGCTGCCCAGTATGAGAATGTCTCTCGGGTTGCGTTTGCTGTGGTGTGGCTGGCATTAGGACTAGGCTCTGCCCAGGTCTCCTGCCTGCTCTTCCCGTTGGGATGTCCTTGTCCAGCCTCACAGTCTGTGGCAGCTGAGCCTCGTTTTCAGAGTCCTGCAGATCTGTTCTTGTTCTGGAGAACCAGTGGGCTGCTTTCCCCTCCAAGCCTGTGAGGGGATTTTAAAAGGCTGCTTTGTGCAGGGTTTCTCTTCTTCTCCCTGCCTTTGCTGCTCTTCAGATCTTGTCGCCCTGCTGGGCAAGTGTAGCAGATGAGCCTGGGAGCTGCAGCGGAGAGCGATGGGTCTCTGCAGAGCTGCTCTGGGAGCGGGGGGTGAGAGGGGGTTCCTTCGCGCCGGGCACGGGGCCAAGGATGCCTCCTGCTGGGAGCGGGGGGTGAGAGGGGGTTCCTTCGCGCCGGGCACGGGGCCAAGGATGGCTCCTGGTGCAGATGTGCTCCGCATTGGAGGCGATGTAGTGTGGGTGATGGGACCGCGCGGGTGGTAATTGCTCATCTCTGTGCAGCATGCTACCACAGATCAGCTGGTGGGAAGGAGAAACTGGTGCCCAGATGTCGCTGAGATGAGAGTGTATCTGAGTGGGGTTCTGATATCAAGGATGCGGCATGTCCACTTGCACCAGCTTTCCTCCAGGATGTTGAACCTCTCTTTTTTTGTCACATAACACGTGTCCGGTCCCCTCTGGCAGGTAGTGGCCAATGCAGTCGCAGCGCTCTCAGAAATAGCAGAGTCTCACCCAAGCAGTAACCTCCTGGACCTCAACCCCCAGTCCATCAATAAGCTGCTCACGGCCTTGAACGAATGCACTGAGTGGGGCCAGATCTTCATCCTGGACTGTCTGGCAAACTACATGCCCAAGGATGACCGGGAAGCCCAGAGGTGAGGGAGGCTCTGGATACTGTTGGGATTGGTGCTTCCACGTGCAGGGAATCCAGGACCAGGGCTGGCTGGAGCAGAGTTTGGAAAGGGAGGGGAACAGATGAGCACTGCCTGAAAGGGCCACTTGCTACTATCGCCAGGTCCTGACGTTCTCCCTTCTCCTCTAAGAAGTATCGTTATGCTTCCTTCTACACTGCTTCTGACCTTTGGCTTGCTGCTGTGGGAGGAAGGGCAGGCATCTGCTGGGTAGCATGCTTTGTGCACTGTGAGCTGGCATAGCCACCTAGGGACTGCTGTCCCCTTGCAAGGAGCACGGTTTTCTAGCTGCCTTAAAATGTGGTCTTAATCATGCAGCACGGGAGAACAGGCCAGACACTAGGGAGCTCTGAAAGAGAACTGTTGGAATTAGGTTTTGGGGAGGCTGGGAAATAACCATCATCAGGGGTGTTTAATAGCCAGTTAAACATCTCTTGGGAAGCTATTAGGTGGTGGGCATCTGCCCTGCTGTAAACTCTACCAGTGCCCCGTTCTCGACTGGTATTAGCAGCAATATTTTACCTTAAATAGGAAAACTGGCTTTGATCGTCTGTTTTCCCTTCATGTCTCCCCTAACTTTTCCAGCATTTGTGAGCGGGTGACGCCCCGGCTGTCCCATGCCAACTCCGCAGTGGTGCTCTCGGCAGTGAAGGTGCTGATGAAGTTCATGGAGATGCTGTCAAAGGACCTGGATTATTATGGCACGCTGTTGAAGAAGCTGGCCCCGCCGCTGGTCACCCTGCTCTCCGCAGAGCCAGAGCTGCAGTACGTGGCTCTCCGCAACATTAACCTCATCGTGCAGAAGAGGTGAGAGCCGCGACGTGAGAGGAAGGGCAGCCCAGCTGTGACTTTCTCTCTTTCTCTAGTGTGGGTGCTGCTTCCTGTTGCCGCAACCCTTCTGGTGACCTCTGTGGTGTTAGGGCTTGGTTGACACAGTCCTTCACAAGGGTTTTGTCTCTTTACTATTAAAACTTAAGGGCTGGGCCTAGAGGTTCAGGAGAGAGAATGGGCAGGGAGCAAAGGGTGGAACGGTGAGTAGCCGAGACTTTGGTTTCATCATTGCATGTCTAGTGAGGCATTTTATGAAAAAGTCTTGTTTCTGTGCAGTCGTCCTTTTCAAACGGGCAAGTACTGAAAGGTCCTTTTGTCCCTTTGCTGATCTAAAATTGCCGGTGTCCAGGAGGTGCGTGAGGACCTACATATGTGCACAGAACAGACGTAGCCAGCTGGAGAGCCCTGCTCCACAGTGAAAGCCACAGTCAGATGATCTGCTGTCCCACCAGTTATCACGGTTGTTGTCTATTAAAAATAGCAGCAACTTCTGGGAGAAGTGGAAAGCAATTAGTGTCCCTGCGAGCGGGAACGTGAAAGACAGGTTGGCTCCTTGGAGTTGGACGAAGCCTGTCCTCTTCTGAGCTTAGAAAGAGGATGCTTTGGTGAGAAAGGCCTAGCCTAGCCCTGGGGAATCTGGGTTCGCATCCCCACAGCCCCAAGAAGTCCCTTACGACCTTGGCAAGACAATCATCGCCTGTTGTCTCGCATCTGTTCTTTGTTTGCGGCAAGGTTGTGCTCTGTTCCCTGTGCATCAGTGAAGGGGAGCCAAGGTTCCTGGTTCCTGGGGGAATAATGACGGCATCTCGGATTGCTTGGCGTTGAACAAGCCCCAGAAACCTTTTTGTGCTTGCAACCAAGGAACCTTGTCCTCCTGGCCTGCCGCTGTGGGAGCTCCCCTGCGCTGCTCGCTCTCAGGCTCGATGCTTCCCCAGTGTGCCTCCTCTGCCGTGTGCTCAGGCCTTCATCAGCCTGGCTCCAGCCTCTGCCGGGGAACGATTCATGCTCGTAGCTGGCTAATGGAGTAATCAGATTGCAGGGACTTGGGGCACGTGGGCTGCAGGGGTCAGGCATCTGGATCCCTCTCCATCTCCTGCACGTTCAGCGCTGTGCGACTGGCCTGCAGCTTTCTGGAGAGGAGAGTTTGCTTTCTGCTCGGCTTTGCCAGCTGATTGTGCCTAGAATAAGACACTGGATGTGGGAGCAGTGGTCAGACTTTGCAGACAGTTTTGCCACAAGAGGAATCATTTGATGTTGGTATCAGTGTCCTGAAAGCTTTGGAGAAATCCATGGCTTCCGGAGCCTTTTTGCTGTTGGTTTCTGCGGTCAAAGTGAAGGAGCTTATGTGTATCCCTTGATCGTTGCCCCTTGTTGTCCTCCAGGCCTGAAATCCTAAAGCATGAGATGAAGGTGTTCTTTGTGAAGTACAACGACCCCATCTACGTCAAACTGGAGAAACTGGACATCATGATCCGCTTGGCTTCCCAGGCCAACATTGCCCAGGTCAGAGATCTGCGTGCTATGCCGACTGGCTGGGTGGGCACAAAGGAGGGCACGCAGGGCGGACTGATCCCAGGAAGGGAGGGTGTTTTCCTGGTAAAACCTTGGTGCCAGAACTGACGGAAAGACCTGGCTGGTGAGCTCAGTGCCTTTAGCTAGGCCAGCTCTCCTGGACGTGACACTGACCTGGGCCAAGTGACGTTGGGTCCTTTGTTGATAAGGAAGAAGCCAGTGTTGTGTCACAGGACAGGTCCTTTCCCAGCAGTGTTTCTGGAGGCAGCACAAATGCTGTTTCTGCCTCTTGCCTCTTCACCGGTGCCCAGCTCTGGGAATGACTAGAGCAACCCAGATTTCCCTCCTTGTATGGCCAGTGCAGAAGTTCTCCTTGTTCTTATGCCCTATTCACGTGTGCTTTCTCGCTGCTCATCCCCTGCTCAGTGCTGTGAGCCCTCCCAGGCATGAGATGCAGTAGGCAGTGGTGAGGGAGAGGTCTCTGGGGGGTAACTCCTGCCCAGATTATCAAGTAAGATCTGAACTGGTGCTTATAGATTCTGAATTAAATTCTTGATCTGAACATAGCCTGCAGCTTTGCAGAACATTACAGGGAGTAGCCCTATCACCCAGTTTGCTACGGTGGCTGGCCCGTGGTGCTGTGAGCTGGGCTTTTGAGGAGCACGTTGCTGTGTTTCCCTTTTCATCCATAGATCGGAGACTTTTCTAGGAGCAGTGCTCTCACCATCTTGTCTTCTCTGGCAGGTACTTGCAGAGCTGAAGGAGTACGCCACAGAGGTGGACGTAGACTTTGTAAGGAAGGCGGTTCGAGCCATCGGCCGCTGTGCCATCAAGGTCGAGGTGAGGGATGGGATGTATTGACTGGCCTGAAGGGGAGCAGAGTTGGTTGCAGAGCTCAGGGTTAGCTTGAGAAAGGCCTGAGCTGGCTGTGGAGAGCAGCAGGCAACCTCTGCATGCTGTCCTCGAGCGCTGGCTGTATTGCTGCTGATGGCAGCCCCAGCTAAGCCAAGACTGCGCCCATCGCGGTTGCTCTCCAGCCCATGTGAATGAATTGGGGGGGCCTGGCTGGAGTCTTGGTGGGTCTGAAGATATAAACCACTGTTGTTTCGTGAGGGGTATTACAGTGCAGTGTAAGGGGTACGGGGGGAGTTTCATCTCCTTGCCGTTTGCCGTGGGAGCTTTTTTAGGATCCCTGTGCATGCCATGATCAGTTGCAGACCTAGCTGCTTGCAACAGACTGGACTGACAAATGTGTACTTACTGTGTTAATGAAGCAGATTATACAGGCGTTGTGTTCAGAGACTGCAGGAGTCCTGGGAGCGAGTTAATCCCTTATCAAAGGGGGTGAGGGGGGGTGGCATCCGCTCAGAGGTAATTTGGAGGAGGGGATTATTAGAAACCTTTCTGAAATTCCTGGCTGTGCTTTGTCATGGCTCTGCATGGCTGGTGAAAAGGTGTGCTTAGAGACAAGATCAAGTGGGTTTGAGCCAGCTGATTTTACATTGGGTTAATGCAGAGCATCCAAAATCACGTGAGAAAAACACCTTAACAACAGCCAGGCAGCCGTTGGAGAGATGGAGGAGGAGACATGCTGGAGCTAACACGGTCTTTGTGACTCCCACTGGGGAGCTGAGCTGGCCCAACTCACTGCCGCTAGACCAATCCCTCTGTTCTACAGTGAAGCCAGCCTCTTCCAGCAGGATTTATTGCCATGGCATTCTCCTTAGCTCTGCTTTTTTGTTTCTGTTAACCCTGCGGAGTGTGGCTGCAAAGATCCAAGCTAAAGCGAGGTTTAGGAGTCTCCACTTTCAGAAAGTGTGTGGGAGCAGGGAGTGAGCTACGCTGGGGGATAGTGGAGGCACCTGGAGTGTGCAGGAGGGATGAAGTGACCTAGACCCAGATCTGAGGAGTGGGAATGGGAGGCCACACTTGTGCATCCTCCATTCTGTTTTGCGTTAAGTCTGGGGGAAGTACGGGAGGGGGAAAATGCAGCGAAGAAGGGATATGAGGAGGGCGGCAGAGGTTTCTGAGGGAGGTATGCAAGAGCATCGCCACCACCTGACCAAGTTCCTCCAACAGCAATCAGCCGAGCGTTGCGTCAGCACCCTGCTCGACCTCATCCAGACCAAAGTCAACTACGTGGTGCAGGAGGCCATTGTCGTCATCAAGGACATCTTCCGCAAGTACCCCAACAAGTACGTGGCTCAGGACACAGGGCGAACGTTCCCTGTGCTAGACCAGCAGCTCGTCGTTACCCCTCTGTGTTAATGGGACCCTAGAGAGATCCAGCATCTGGGGGGAGGGTTGGGCTGTTGCTCCCTCCTGGTGTGGTAGCCCATGTTTAAGCTGCCGAGAGCCCAGAATTGGCATTGGGGTACGTAGGAAATAAATTATGCGTCTTTTCCTACCTGCTCGCATCGTCGCAGGGCAGAGAGAGCACATGTGCAAAAGCCATACCCACCTCACCTCGCTTCAGTGAAGGTGGCTTTTGGTTTTTTTGGGTTTTTTTTGTTTTGCCAATTTGAGTTGTGCTAATGAGTTAATGTGACCTCAAGCAGGAAATGTGACCTGGGGGGCAGGAAAGCCTTCCGCAGCCTAGACGATGTCCTGAGTTGTGATGGCAGACCCAGAGCTAGAGACCCAAAGAGACGGAAGCTGCTAGAGACTTTGAGGCCTGACATTGGCATTAACCATCTATGGCTCATAATTCAGTGATTCTGGTGTTAGCGAGCACAGAGATCAGTGCAAGGACTGTGGAGCTGCCTGAGACGGGGGTAGAATGTCTCACGTGGCCTCTGAGGAAGAAGTTAAACTGGTTTTTGATTACAGTAGCTCTGAAAACCTCCTGTCTAACGTGCGTGGATAGCAGGAGAAGAGGGGAGAATTCAGACTGATCCATAACTAATGGGCAACTCCATGTCCAGGAAGTAGTGAACTAATAGCAATAATAATTACTAATGAACAGAATTAGCAATGAACAGGAAGTCGATGTTAATCTCCAGCAACTCGGGGCTGCTATAGAGCTGGAGAGAGGATGCAGACCAGATGAGTCGGGCTGAGAAGTTAATTCTGCAGAGAGGCTGGTGAGCAGGGGCGCGTGCTCAGGAGCCGACTAGGGCTCGGCGCGGGCGGCCTCTCAAAGTGCTGCAGCGCTGGGGAGAGAGAGCTGCCCGAGGCTGGCCGGCCGTAGGATCCCTCACTGAGAGCAGCACAAGCAAGCTGGGAGTGCTGGTACCCTCGGTGATGCCCTGGTTCACAGGCTATCAGACATATCTTGGAGTTGGAGTGAGTCCCAAGTTGGGACTCGGCTCCTTCCATCTGTTTGGTGAACGCGTATCCTGTTCTTGAAGGTACGAGAGCGTGATTGCCACCCTGTGTGAGAACCTGGATTCCCTGGACGAGCCTGAGGCCCGGGCTGCCATGATCTGGATTGTGGGGGAGTACGCTGAGCGGATCGACAACGCAGACGAGCTCCTGGAGAGCTTCCTGGAGGGATTCCATGATGAGAGCACCCAGGTATGGTGGGATGGAGGGTGCAGCTCCACCGTCGGTGGGGGGACAAACCCCTGGAGCTGTGGCTCCTCCAGGTGAGGGGAGGCCTGATCCATTGGCAGGACTGGCTGGAGGGAGCCGTGCTGCACTCTGGCTGAATCAGGGGTTTGGTCCCTCAAAGCTATTCTCCAGTCACCTTGGCCAAGGCAGTGACTTAGCCACCTCTCCTTTAGTCAAGTGATAGCTGAGAATGTGTTTGTGTCCCCAAGGTCTTGTTGAGGAGTAAAACTATGAAAAAGCTTGTGCTAATGCAATTTGAAGAAAGCAATTTGCTCTAACAGGTTCAGGAAAGTGGTTTCTTGCAGGTTCTCGAACAGCGATGTCCTCCATTGGTTCTGCATGTAGACCATACTCATGTGCCCCATGAAATACCACTTTGGTGGTATCTCAAGCATCTTCCCTTCTTAAAAGTTAGAAGGGACCAATTGGTCACTTGGTCCGTTCCTCTGTGCCAGGACGGGAGCAGCCTTTGGGGGCTGGAAAATCGAGTCACGTGGCTGAAATGAGCTGATACGGAGTTCAGCTTGCACTTCCTGAGCAGGTGGCTTCCACTGGAAGCCCCCAGCAGACACAGGGCTGGCAGAGGGAAGTGTAGCTGCCCCTTTTGCTGGGGCAGCTGAGGCCGATTGTAGCTCAGAGGGAGATTGCTGTGCCTGGTCAGGCCCCTATCTGTGCGGGGCTGGAGCGTGCAGCTGGGGAGTGGGAGCCTCACCTCCTCCCTGCCTCTTCTCCATCACAGTAGATGAAGGAAGGGAACTCGGGTTGTCAGGACCACTTCCAAGTTGGTTGAAGATCCAACCTGGGGAGGTAGCTTCTGCTGTACCTCAGTTGCTGCCTCTTTGAGGTGGGACAAGTGGCTTTGTTGGGTTTTCATTTGGAAATTCTGGTGGTGTCACCTAGGGAAATTTCCCACAAACCACTATATAAAACACCATGAAATTAGGTCACAGCCAAGTGAACAGAGAAAGGTCTATGAAGATGGAAGAGCAAAGCTGCTGATCTTGTCCCTGCTGCCTCAGGTCTAAAGGGACAGTTGGAGGTGAATTGTTGTTGCTTGTCTTCCTGTAACTCAAAGGATGCTCTGACCTTCACCTCTGTGGGCCTGCGTAACCCAGGCCCAAGATCTTGCCCAGTGACCTCTCTGTCCACCTGCCCCTCCGACAGGCTGAGAGTGCAGTAATCGACTTGAAATGGCCTTCAGACCTGGCTAGGAATTACCTGAGATGCTCTGAGAGTTGTCACTCCTGCTTAACAAGTCATTGCATATCAGATCTCTTGAAAGGCGGTTGGAATTATGTCCCAGCAGTGTGTACAGGGAAAACTCATGGTGATTTTGTTTTTGTTTTTGACACCAAAGCCGTGCAAGATGGTCCATTTCTCCCTAACCTTGCTTTTCTGCCCACAGGTTCAGCTACAGCTGCTGACAGCTATTGTGAAGCTGTTTCTGAAGAAGCCCACGGAGACGCAGGAGCTGGTGCAGCAGGTGCTAAGCCTGGCTACTCAGGTGTGTAACCCACTCCTGCTCGTGCGGAGAGCTTCTCATGGGGCTTTGCCATCGTTTCCAAAGTGATGGGAATGTCGTGGTAACACACGGCGCCCGTGGTGGGAGGCAGGTGATAGCATTAGCTTAATTGTGGAAATGCTGGCAGTTCAACTGCCACGAGGCGTCGTTGTGTGCTGCTTCCCTGCTAACACCAGTGTAACAACGCAGGTACCCGCGCTGCCTCTGTAGAGCAGAGGTGCAACGTAGGCTGTAACTTCCCTCTCCACATTCCCACTAATGCTCTAGCAAGATTTAGGCAGGGACAAAATATTTGTGGCCCCAGGGCACTCTGAATTGTTCCATAGTAGCTGCAGCTTCCCTTGCCCGCTTGCTTCAACACTAACCGCCGTGCTTCCCCCAGGACTCGGACAACCCGGACCTGCGAGACCGTGGCTACATCTACTGGCGCCTGCTCTCCACTGACCCGGTGGCTGCCAAGGAAGTCGTGCTGGCAGAGAAGCCCCTCATCTCCGAGGAGACGGATCTGATAGAGCCGACGCTGCTGGATGAGCTCATCTGTTATATCGGGACGCTGGCCTCCGTCTACCACAAGCCTCCCAGCGCCTTTGTGGAGGGCAGCAGAGGGGTCGTGCACAAGAGCTTGCCTCCGCGAACGGGCTCGTGAGTATCTCTCTGCCTGCCCCCCTCCTCCGCAGGCGCTTTCCACCCTGCGTTGAGTCTGCATGGAAGCTCAGGGCCTTACTCGGCCCAGAGAGACTGCCTCTCCTTGCTGGGCCTCTCGGTGAGAGCAGGTTACTACCAGCGTTATGTATGTGCACGCGTAGTTCTGCAGAAGCACAGAGCCTTTTTCCTGCATCAAATTGAGCTCTGGTGAATATCACAAATGCTCTCCCAGCTCCTGTCATAGGGGGCATCATGTCTCAATTGCGATGTCACCTGTGCTCGGATATTACAGCCTGCCAGCAAGGCTCCTTGGAGGGAGCTCTCCTTTGTGGGTCACTGTCTCCCCAAGGAAAGTTCCCCTGTAGCAGCTGGGCTGGTATGGATTAAATGCCATCCTTATAAGCCTGACAGAGTGAGCTCGGATCTAAGTGGAAGGTGAATCTCAGTGAGAGGGTTTTGAAGTGTTGGGATCCCTGCTGGGACAGGACATTTTTGTGAGCGTTCATTGCAAAGCACAGTTGGGCAAATTGCATCCGTCCTGTCTCCAGCACGGCCTGTTGGCTCAGCCAGAGCTTTTCAGTATCGTGCGTTTCACTCTCCTCTTCCCTGTCCTTCCCTCTAGGAGCGAGAGCGCAGAGAGCCCTGACACAGCAGTCCTTCTTGGTGACCGGCTGATCCTAGACCTGGGCCCCCCGGTGAGCGGGCCTCCCATGGCTGCCACCTCCGTGCAGATGGGTGCCGTGGACCTTCTCGGAGGCGGCTTGGACAGCCTGGTACGTCGCAGCTCTGCATGCTCCTGCCCTGATGCTGTTGCCTGGCTGAGCCCGAACCCAGGCTGCCCTAACGACGTCATGCCGGGTTTGATGTAGGCTCCCATTTGCAGTAACTGGGGCTGAGACTGGCTTGTCCCCGCAGAGACACCTGAGCTAGTCCTTTCCTTTTACAGCTAGTGAAGAGAAAGGGGCACTCTGTGACCTCAGTTGTCTCATCCTGAGAGAGGTGGCTGGAGCAGGGCAGGGGTTAGCGCTCCAGAGTGCCTTTTTCTCTCATTCCTGCAAAGGAGGTCTCTGCTGCTCTAGTGTCGACGCTCCCGTTCTCTGTGCCCGCAGTGTGGAGATGCTCCTGTTTCTGGGTTTCCCCTCTGAACCCCAATCCATACACCTGCCTGAAATTGGGATGTGCTGTAGGGCTGGGCTGAGATACGCCTGCTCCCAGCCCGCAGGGAGGGTTTAATGGGCCTCTCCTGCGCCAGGAGAGCCGGAGCTGGCAGCTTGTTGTCCTGGAAATGCAGCGGCAGTGAGAGGCAGCCCCCCAGCCCGCAGGCTCAGCTCCCCAGCCCGATGGTGCTGGAGCGGGGGCTGGCTTTGCACAGCACGGCAGGCTCCCGGGCCGCCCCTGCGCTGGCCATCTGGCAGAAAGACGGCCGTCCTGGTGCTGGAGGGCTGCAGGGCACCTGCCTGCCTAGGATGACAGCCCTAGGCCTCGGCCTCGAATATAGAGCGGCTTGTCCCAGATCTAGGCCTGTGGTCATGGGTGAGAAGGAGCGGAAACCCAATCCTCAGCCTGGGCAGCGCCATGCAGGCGCAGAGGCTGGTGTCAGTGATGGTACCAGCTCCCCGAAGGAGAGGAGAGTTTGGAGTCCCTCCGCCTCTCACAAAAGCAAGCAGGGATCCCCCATGGGGAGACAATTGCTGCCTCTGCTGGGTCACAGCTCCCCCGCGTGCTGTCCTGGCTCTTCACCGGGCTTGCAGAGCAGGGACTGGGTTGGTTGCGAGCACGTGGACGAAAGGAGATCCCCATTCCTGTGCATGGTGAGGCACCGCTGCGAGCTGTGCTGCGCGAGCTAGCGCAGTCTCGTCCCACGTACTGTCTCCAAGGACCTGCCTGGGCTATGCCGGCTCCAGAGCAGCAGGGCCGCCATGCGAACCACCGGTGGACGGATCGGCTGGTGGGACCGCTTGACTAACGTCTCTTCCCTCCTCCCCTTCTCTTGTCTCCCTGGTTTCTTTGTCTCTTCTGTCCCGGCTTGTGTGCCTGCATGTGGCTGGCTCTTCTCTCCGCCTTGCCTGCTTCTGCTTGGAGATGGGGGACGAGTCGGAAGGGGTATGGATCAGCCTTTTCTTAGCTCTCTAGAGCGTCCCTGGCCATGGTGCCCATGCCGGCCCTCCCTCTGCCCTGCGTCCCCTTCACGGTCTGAGCCTCCTGCCAGGCCTAGGGCTGAGTCCCAAGCAGCATCTCTGGCCAGCCTGGGACAGGCACCTTATGCCCCCAGTGCCCCAGGGACTCCTCTGCTTCCCGCAGGGGACAGCTGATCCCCCCAAACCACTTCTAGCGCATGAAGGCCCAACGGTCCCAGATGCCGTGGGAGAGGCAGAGAGCTGCAGTACACTACCGGGACCCAGTGACCTCCCTACAGCTTGTTGGTTCCTACCTTTCTCTGTCTCTGGCTCTCGGTGTCTGTGCCTGAAGCTTAGCTTGTTAAATGCTAGTGAAAACAAAGCGACACAGATGCTGAACTAAGAGATCCCCCTGTGATGAGGAGCGGCAGGATCTGCTGGACAGCCCTGAGCACCCCTAGTGAGCCCAGACCCTTGCTTGCTGGTGCTGGCCTGTTTAGAAAGCACCCTGGGGAGAGCTTTTTGTGGGACCCCTTCCCCTTGGCGCGCTGGGTCCCTGCCTCGGCTCGCAGTGACGTCTCCGTTTCTTGTCTCTTGCAGCTGAGGAGCGATGTGGGAGGCAGCCCTGCCGTGAGTGTGCCCTTCCCCGTCTGTCCCGCTCTGCCTCCTCCTCTTTGCTCGCCTCCCCTCCGCGGGACCCCCGTAACTCGCTCCCTTGTCTCCTGCAGATGGGCGGCGGCAGCGGCTTCGCAGCACCCAGCACCGCAGTGCCTGCGAACCTGGGGGCACCCCTCAGCAGTGGCCTGGGAGACCTCTTTGACCTCACCGGGGGAGTGGGTACTCTGTCAGGATCCTACGTGGCACCTAAAACGGTGAGCAGGGTGGGGGAGCCAAACCCGAGCTGCCGGCTTTAATCTGCTGCTGAAGGTCGGAGCTGGGGCGTTAAGGAGGGTCGAGAGCCCCAGCTCCCCACGCAGCAGGGCTTTCCTGGGAGGAGGTGGAAAACGAGCCTGCTGTACCTAGCCTGGTAGGCAAGACCAGCAAGGGCGATGATCGATGTTGGAGCGCTGGCTACGCTGGCAGATCTTGCCCAGATCTGGCAGGGTGCGTGCGTGTTCACCTGCATGCTACTCAAGCTATAACACAGCTGAGAGCAGGGATTTGTCAGGTCAGATCTCTGCTAGCCCTGTTTTTTTGCAGTCCCCGTCTAGGGGCTGTTCCTGGAGGAGCGAGTTTCTTCAGGACCGCTCTGACTTCCAGAGGCAGTGCGGATGGGAAGGCGTCCGCCATACAGCGCCTCTCGCCTGCCGTGCCGTTCGGGGCCTTGCACGTGCCCTGGAGCAAGAGCTGCTGGTGGGCTTGGGACGTCGCTGCCCAAGGCAGAGATCTTGGTGGAAGGGGAGTGATAATCCTCTGCCGTCTACCTGTGTCCTGTCTGCTCTGCCTGGAGCAGTTGGTGGAGGGCCAGTATCCTTGTGGTGCTTGTTCTGAAATCCCAGGGTGTCTGTAGCAGCGAAATGCTCCTGGGTTTACAAATACCCTACCGGCCCTGGCAGTCTGCTGGAAGCTCTTGTGAGCACTGGAGTCGTGTGAACATGTTGCTCTGTTCAGCTCCTCTGCAGCATGTCTGGCAGGGTTCGCTTTGTGTTTCAGATCGGGTAAAAATCACGTGGATTTCTTGTATCCTTACTGCAGGTCTGGCTCCCTGCCATGAAGGCCAAGGGGCTGGAGATCTCTGGCACATTCAGCCGCCAGGTGGGCTCTATCTCCATGGACCTCGTGCTAACAAATAAAGCCCTGCAGGTCATGTCTGACTTTGCCATCCAGTTCAACCGCAACAGGTAAGGTCCCTCCTGCGTTGTGCCTGGCAGCGTTGTCCCGGTGCAAAACTGGCCCCTGCTTGGCTCTGGGATCTGCCAAGCTATTTGCAGGGCTTCGGCCACTGTAGGGGCATGGTGGCCTCAGGATGGCCATGACAAAGCCTGGGAGCACCCAGCAGGGTCAGCTGCTATTTCAAGAAGGGCTGCTAGGAAAGAGTACGGGGTTCAGTGCCTGGAGAGCCTGACTTTGTACACTGTGGGCAGCGCAGTACGCACAGTGTTTATCGGGGAGGACAGCAGAGCATCGGTGCTTGCAGTGGGGCAGCAGCAGCTGGTGAAGGTGCTGCATGACAGCTTCCATGTTCAGCCGTGGAGCTGTGGCATGCGCAGAGGGGTGGGAAGAAGGAGCTGTGAACTGGTGGCAGCTGCCAGCATGTAGGGCTGAGAAGAGCCTCACGTGATGATACTTCTCTTGCTGATGGCTGTGGTGGTGATGATCATCAAACCGGAGCCTCTAAGAAGTTGACTGAAGAGGCCATTCCCCTGGGGGGATCTGGGTACTGCTCACCAGCCAACTCGGGGGCTGTCCTGTAATTTGGCTTTCTGCCAAACTGCCTGATGCCTCCTTTTCGCTCAGAGGAGCACAGGCGAGGAACCAGGCCCAAGGATCCTAAGGCAAAGTCTTACACCTACACCTACACGAGTCTGCACAGGGCAAAGGAGTTGCACTTTGGGGCTGCCCCAGGGCAGGAGCCAGTCAGGTCCTGGGCTTTCTCGTGGCTGGAGGACGTCTGTGTGGCAAGAAAACGGGTTTTCTTCCCCGCTGCCCAATGCCCTGACCCGCTGTCTCTTGTTGGGTGTCCTCACAGCTTTGGTCTAGCCCCAGCAGCTCCTCTCCAGGTCCACGCGCCTCTCGCCCCCAACCAGTCGGTGGAGATCTCCCTTCCCCTGAACACAGTCGGCTCTGTCATGAAGATGGACCCCCTGAACAACCTCCAGGTAGGGATTGCCCCGGGGTGTTTCCTCCCATGCCCAGAAACCAGCTGGGGAGGTTTGAGTCGGTGCAGGCTGGGCGAGAGGGGCATCGTAGGGCTGCGTTTGCGCCCTTCTCCGAGCTGAGAGGGAAGCAGATGAAGTGGAGCTGGAAGGATTTGTGACAGCAGGAAGCCAGCAAGAGGAAACGCTAAGCTCATCATCTTTGCTTTCCTGTCAGAGCGCCTAGCTTTGATTTGATATCTTACTCCCACGCAAAGTGCTCTGTCCATGGCGGAAGATCCTTATTGACGTGCGGCAGAGCCAAGTCTCAGACGAGCGTCTGCTCGCGGTGTGCCAGAGCGGGAGGAGGCGGTGGTGGGGTGACGGGTGGAGACAGAGCTGCGGCAGCTGTAGTTTCAAGAGAGAAGGCGAACTGGCTAACGGGGTGCAGCCCTGCCACCGGTTCCCTGGCAACTCCCCAATTTCCCCTTGTGCATCCGGGAGTGTGGCGTTGCCACCACGTGAGAGCGTTCTGGTGTGCAGGGCGTGTGCGCTGGCTTCTCTCAGGCCCCTCCAGCTCTCTTTAGGCACAGGAGTCAGCGATTGCTGGTGTCCTGCCTCCAATGCTCTTTGCAATGACACCCAGCTCGAAGGGCATCAGTGTCATATGGGGGGACAGGATGCTTGCCTGGGAATCACCCGCCTGCTCTAGACGGAAGGAACTGTTGAAGTCTCGGTGTCTTTCTGTCCTAGGTCGCAGTGAAAAACAACATTGACGTGTTCTACTTCAGCACACTGTATCCGCTGCACATCCTCTTCGTGGAGGACGGGAAGATGGGTGAGTCGGAGCGTGGGAGCCGGCCCTGCGGGTGGCTGTCATTCCTGCAAGGTCCTGCACTTCTGCCACTCGTCACTAGGCGCCATCTCAGGCCCTGAAAACCTCCCAGCTGCCTTAACAGCCCAGAGCTGGGAGCCCTGGGAGAGCGTGATCCTGCTGGGAGCCTGGAGCAGGTTGGGGCAGTGCAGGCAGGTCAGTGCCAGCATGCAAAGCTGTGGTCACCTGAGATGGCCTGTGCCACCTTCTAAAAGCTCGCTGCCACCAAGCCCTCTCATTTCACTCTACTGCTTGTTTTGCTTTCTCTGACTCTCCCCAGCCACTTCCTCAAGCCCATTCAGCTCACTAACCCAGGAAAAGCGGGTAGCTTTCCTGCTGCTGAGTGAGGCTGATCCTGGAAGAGCATAGTGGCTGCTGGAGGGGATGGCAGCGTGGCAGGGAGAGCAAACGCTTCCCTCTCCTGGCTGCAGTGAGATCCGTTCAGCAGCTGGCGAAATCGCGGTGTGGTCTCTGCATCTGCACTGCGCTTGGAGGTGGTGCCTGGTGCTTTGGCTCTCACTCTGTCACTTTGTTTCCTTCCTGCAGAGCGGCAGATGTTCCTGGCCACTTGGAAGGACATTCCCAATGAGAACGAGGCCCAGTTCCAGATCAAGGACTGTTCTCTCAATGCAGGTAGGTTCAGACCCTCGGGAAGGGTCAGCTCCCGGCTGGCTGTGCGCTTTGGGCCGCCTTTGGTGCCTAGGGGTGTTGTGCTTATCTGACTTATCCCAGCTAAGACCGCGGGGAGCTGAAACCTCTTAAGTGTCAGTGCTCCACGTGCATGCCCCAAGCCTGCAGAGATGATCACGCCAGCTTGAGCCTGGGGTTTTCCTCCGGATGAGAGGTGGTTTGGTGCCTTGTGCTTGGGCAGCGGTTACTTTACTAGCTCAGCTGGTGATGCTGGGCTCTGCCAGGCAGGCTGTCACGCTGAGCGTGGTGTGGGGAGGCCCTGCTGTTGTCTTCGTGTGGTTGTGGATCCTCCTCTCCCTTCCTTTGCTTCCATGTCAATGGTGTCAGCAAGGGCAAGGCCCTCCTCTCCTCTGCACTGATCGCACGGTCCCACGGGACCCCGTGGGCGCCCTTTTCACAGCCTTGCTGCTGGGGGTGTCTGTGCAGAGCCAGGACTAGGCCCTGCAGTGCCTTCTCGCTCCCACAGTGAGTCCATGTCATCCGGGTGCCCTGCATGCCAGCATACAGGCTGTTAAGCGCCTTTTATCCAACAGCAAGGTGAGGAGTAGACAAACTGCTGGGAAAGGAAAGTAGCTCCCTTCGGCCTCCCCTGCCCTCCTGGTCACCCTCATGGCATGTGCTGTCCTCGCCTGGAAGGGCCTGATGCGTGTTGTCGTCTCTCGGGGTTTGGTGGCAAGCCGTGCCGTACGAACCCGGCTCGAGGTCCCCGAACCCAACAGAGCGCTGCACCGTGGGAGCGCCCTCCCTGGGGAAGAGGGAGCGACCGGGGACCCTGGTCGAAATGAGCCTTTCCCATAATCACCTGGGCACAGCAGGTTTTAATGTGCTCCGTCCCAGGGCAGCCAGACGGGATGGGGAGGAGGTGGTGGAGCAGAAGCAAGTCCCGGTTCCCTGGGTGCGTGGCAGGTAGCAAGAGGGCTGGTGTCTAGCTCAGGGCTTAGGACATGAGGGTCCAGGGCTGTGCGCAGCAGAGAGCGAGCAGAGTTTGGCGTTAGCAGGTAGAAAAGAGGAGTTTGCTCACATCCAGCACTTGAATTTTTGCTCCTCTTTGCCCTCAAGGCCTGGAAGTTGAGGTGTGCCCAGGACGGGCCCAGGCTGTCCCCTGCCTCCTGCTAGCGAGGGCCAGATCTCACTGTGCGGCGTCCGGGGTCTGCGCCGTCGCGGTCTGAACGGCAGCCGTTTCTCTGCCCGCACAGATGCCGTTAGCAGCAAGCTTCAAGGCAGCAACATCTTCACCATTGCCAAGAGGAACGTGGAGGGCCAAGACATGCTCTACCAGTCTCTGAAGTTGACCAATGGGATCTGGGTGCTGGCAGAGCTGCGGATCCAGCCCAGCAATCCCAGCTTCACGGTACGTCCTCTCCCCTGCCCAGCTCCGGGCCCAGGCTGCTCCCCACCCTGCCCTCACCTTCCCCTCTCTCTGCTTGGGAGCTTGGGTGAGGGTGGCCAGGCCTTCAGCAGATCTCTGCGGTGGTGGGACCCGGGTGTGGGAGCAGCCAGTGGTGCTGCCGGCCATGCGTTTTGGTGTTGACGAACACATGACAAAGGTAAACACCCACCCTTTCTGCTGGCGAAGGGGTCAGCGTGAGCGCCCTCCCCTTGCCGGTCCTGGCCGCCCTCTCGGGTGGCGAGGGGAAGACGGGGGCTCCGTCAGCTGGGCTGGCGCTGCAGGAACGCTCCCGGTGATCTCCGTTCGACTGTCCTTGTGGCGACAGGGCGGCCGGCGCGTTACCACGCCGAGGGGTAGCAACCATCAGTTTCGGTGACACAGCTAAAGGAAGTGCTTGTGTGGGTGAGAAGTTCCAGCCAAATGACGAATCTTTAAAGAAAAAACCCCGACCTCAAACCTCACGCCTCGGCGCACCTGGCTCTGCCCGCGGCGCCGGGCAGCCCCGCTGCAGCTGCAAGGAAAAACAGCCTCCAAGCAGAGGCTGGTCCCCGGATGGGCACCCTGTGCCCGGCCCCGCCGCCTTGGCGCTCGTGCTCCCTCCCCAGGCCCAGCTCGGCCCGTCCCTGCGGGAACCACCGTTCCTCACGGGCCTTTTGTTTGGTCTGGTTGCCATGAGCTGTTGCGCGTTGACTCATCTCTCTGTATGTGTCTTCGTATCCGCTGCTGCATGCCTGCCTGCCCGCCGCTGGCCTGCCCTGATGTTGCAGGAGGTGGAGGTTAGCAGGCTGGGTTTTTAACC